TCAACTGCATGTTTTTCAAGTACGAACTTTGCAGATGTCCACACTGGGTCTAAAAGGACGTCCCTTTGAGGGTCATGGGCATTTCAGAATCTCTATGGTCAGACACTGACCACTATAAACTTAGAAGTTTCTGTTTGCCATTTCTGTGTTACTGTAATCAAATACTTGAGTTGATCAACTTAAATAGAGCAATGTTAACTTTGGGTCATGGTCTCAGAAGTTCCTGTCCCTCATTACTTGGCTCTGTTGCTTTTCACTGTGGTGACTGGGACAGTGGGGTGGGGGAAGTATGGTAGAGGACTCCTGTCCCAGTCATAGTTGGGAAGAAAAGGCCAATATCCACTTCATGGTCACAATGTGGGATTCCCCTCTGTATACTATGAGTATGTTTTATTACCATTGGTTAATAAAGAAGCTGCTTTGGCTTATGGCAGGACAGAACAGAGCTAGGCAGGAAAACTAAACTGAATGCTGGGAGAAAGAAGGCAGAGTTAGGAAGATGCCATGTAACTGCTGAAGTAGAAGGACACCAGAACCTTACTGGTAGCCCACAGCCTTGTATTAATTAATAGATTAATAGAAATGGGTTAATTTAAGATTTGGGAGTTATCCAGGAACATGCCTGAGTCATTGGCCAACCAGTGTTGTAACCAATATAGTTTCTGTTTGATTATTTGGGTCTGGGCGGCCAGGAAATGAACACACAATCTTTGCTTACAAGGACATACCTTCAAAAGCCTAACTTCCCCCCACCTGGCTCCCCGTGTGTGTGTGTGTGTGTGTGTGTGTGTGTGTGTGTGTGTGGTGAATGCATGTGAGTGTGTGTGCACAGGCATGTACACACAGGAGCTCAACAGGACATCCTGTGTCCTCCTCCCTCACATTCTGCCTTACTGCCTTGAGACAGGGTCTCTCACTGAAATGGGAACGTCATTTTGGCTAGAGAGGCTAGCATACAAGCTCTTGGGATTTGTCTGTCTCTGTCCTCTAGGGCTGGGATTATAGGCACATGCAGCCATGCCCAGCTTTTACATTTCATTTGTTTGTGTGTGTATGTGTGTGTGCACTTCGGTATGTGTGCCGTGTGAGTGCATGCACCTACAGAGACTAGAAGAGGGTATCCGATCCCCTGGGGTTGGAGTTGCAGGGCTTTGTGAGCTACCTGATATGGGTGCTGGGAATTGAACCTTAACCCTTAACCACTGCCATTTCTCCATCCGTAATGCATGGCCTCACTTTTTTTTTTTTTTTGTTTGAGATAGGGTTTCTTTGTAGCTTTGGCACCTGTCCTGGAACTAGCTCTTGTAGACCAGGCTGGCCTTGAACTCACAGAGATTTCCCTGCCTCTGCCTCCCGAGTGCTGGGATTAAAGGCATGAGCCACCACCGCCTGGCTAATGCTCATCTTTTTATGTGTGCTAAGAATTTGAACTCGGGTCCTCATTCTTGCAGAACCAGCACCCATACCCATGAAGCCATGTCTCCAGCTCCAACCCTACTTCTTAAGTGTTCGTAGTTCAGTTGGCTAAAATGCTTAGTTTAGAAGCACAGGAAATGGGTTTAATTTCTAGAATTCATGTTTAAAAGAGCCAAGTATAGTTTCCCATGCTTATAAACCCCAGCATGGGTTGACAGGGCTCACTGGACAGCAGCTTAGCAAGTCAATGAATTCCAGGCTAGGCAATTGGCAGCTAAGAGAACAACAGCAGAGATTGTCTTCCACACGTGTGTACACATGCCTACATGCACACACTTGTGTCTGCGCACACACAGGTCTATCACTTTCCAATACTCGATGCTGGGAACTAAGTTCTCAATAGCTGAGTTTTGGGAGATGCTCTAGAGTCAAATACCACCAAAGTTCTCTCCTGTTTTGTTTTCCTTTTCAAAATACTCATTCTGATTGTTTTGTCAAAATCATATTTATCTGTCTTCTATAGCCAGTGTTCAGAGTATCTGGGTCTAACTTTCAAAACAAAGGAAGATGAAGAACTCGCTTTAACAACCTTGGGTCAAACCTGGTGTCGTCACTTTACACAATATCCTCGCGGGCACACATGAGGCTCTTGGTTCTTGAAGCCCACAGAGCTCCCTTCCTGTTTGCTGTGAGGGAAGAGCCTCTAGGAATCTCTGGCTGCTGGGTCAGGGTGAAGAGCAGGCCGACCTGACTCTGAGTTAACTGGGACACAGAGCCCTCCCACAGGGGCCCCAGTGGCCTCCAAACAAATCATATTTATAGGGCACCTGTCAGCCCATAAACGCCCTTTGCATCTAAGATCTGCGTAAAGCTGATAGCTGCTTCCTCTCGAAGTCACTTGCTCAGCTGCCTTCTGAATGGTGGAGGCTCAAACAAGTCCAAGACTGGGCTCTCTTAAAATTGTATTAATTATTACCATTATTCTGTGGTATGTGTGTTGTGTATGGTGTGTTTGTATGGTGTGTATGTGTGTATATGTGGTGTGTGGTATGTGTGTAATTGTGTGTGTGTGAGGACATGTATAAAGTCAAGGACAGCTTCATGAAGCTAATTCTGTCCTTCTGTTTATACATGCGTTCCAGGGATTGAATGTAGGACCCCAGGCTTGCATAGCATGGCTCCTTACCTGCTGAGCTACCCCAGTGCTCCCCAGTCACCTTTTGAGTCAGACTCTCATGCAGCCCAGGTTGGCTTTGAACACCCTAGGTAGCTGAGGACACAGGTGCACTATCACACCTGGTTTGAGGTGAAGGCAGTGCCGGGGATGGAACCCAGGACCTTGTGCACGCTAGGCAAGCACTCTGCCAACTGAGCTATGTTCCCAGCCTCTCAGCTGTCTCTTGTCATGGATGTAGCCAGTGTGCTGCTTGGGGCTCTCTCCCATGCTGCCTGAATTGCTGGAGTTTGCCTGATCCCAAGGTACTTTAACTTCACACACCTGAGACCCCTCAACAGGAACAGCTATGGAGAAAGGGCACAGCCAGCAGTTTACCTTGTCACATGATCACAGTACACCCAGCTGCTAGGATTCTGGGTGATGTGGTCTGTTTGGATGACATCGGTCAAACTGAGCCCTGGGGCAACAGGCAGGCCCAGGTGGATGGATGCCTGCTGTCCTGGTGGGAGACAGACAGCAAGAGAGACCTCAGTCCCTGGAGGTAGCAGGCTGTTGTAGTGTAGGACGGGACATCAGGCCAGGTCAAGTGGGACGAGCTGGAGGCAGAGGAACCATGTGTGTCTGGGGTCTTAGACACAAATCAAGGTGATGGGGGGGCGGGTAAGGGAAAAGCTGGCATGGCTAGAGCTGAGTGGGCACTGAGCTGAGCTGACAGGCAGGGCCAGGCCAGGTGGGGCATGCAGCTGAGGGAGGCAGCAAAAGTTCTTCTCAAAAAAGGGCTTGGTGGCCTGTGACACAGCTGTGGTTTCAGTCAATCTATGAAAAAATTTTACATTTATTATTTATATGCATGCGTGTGAATACTCACGAACCGTGGTGTGTCAGCTGAGGTCAGACGACAACTTTTGGGGTCACTTCTCTTTCTCTCAGGTGGGTTCCAGGGCTCCAACCAGGCCATTGGGTTTGCCGACGAGCACCAACACCTGCTACGCCATCTCGCCAGCTTCACCCAGGTTTGCTCTGGAGACCCTGGAGCTCAGGGAAGGTCGAGAGTGCACGGTGGAGGCAGGGGTGGTCTCTCTAGCACCGGAGCAGAGGGTAGACTCAGTTTTGTAGATCTGACCTCGTGCCTCTCCTCGGCACCACATCAAATCCACAGGGCCTTCTGCCCAGCCCTGGTGGCAGAACCTGGCCTCTGGGTCGGTGAGACTGACAGGGCTGGGGTCACTGAGGTGTGGAGGACAGAGGCTAATGTTAGGTGGTATTCCTCAGGATGTCAGTTACCTTGTCTTCAACGACAGGGTCACTCACTAAACCTGGAGCTTGAATGGGACTCAGGATTTCTTGATTGCTCTGAGCTTTCTCCTCACCCTTCACTAGTGAACTTCTAAAATGAGCCCATGTCTGCAGAGTCAAAAACCACTCAGACTCCCCACAACCTGACAGCTGACCAATCTGATCCTGCTGTCTGCTTTCAACTGATATTCGTGGCACCAAGGGCAGATTAACACAGTGGCCAGGCACCCAACTTCATGCTGACCACTGGGCCTGGGCTAAAGCTGTCTCTCCCAGCACTTAAGTTTCCAGACCCTTCGGCTCCCCAGATCAAGGTATTGTTGTTCTGCAAGGGGCACCACTGGTCCAGTATAAGACACGGGAGAGGGCAGGACACATGTAGCCAGGAAAGGGGTATACAAAACCTCAGCGTGAGCTGAAGGCTGGAGAATACAGGGCCCACGGACACTCATCATTAAGTCCACGGCACACAGCACAGGCAGAGGTCAGAGCAAACATTGAACACACAGCACAAGACCAAGCTGTTTTCCCTATGTCAGACGAGATTTCATTCCACACGTCATGTCCTCTCCTGAGTCCCTTCTCTTCCCTTCTGTGGTGGTTTTAAATGTGAAAGACCCCACAGGCTTATGTATTTGAATGCTTGGTCCCCGGTCAGTGGAACTGTTTCTTGATTAGGAGGTGTGTTCTTGTGGGAGGAGGTGTGTCCCTATGCACTTTGAGGTTTCAAAAGCCCAAGTCAGTCTCTCTCTCTGTCTATCTCTCTGTCTGTCTCTCTGTCTGTCTGTCTGTCTCTCTCCCTCTCCCTTTCTACCTTGTGCCCATGAGTCTTGATGTAAGATCTCAGTTACTGCTCCAGTGCCATGTCAGCCTGCCTTGTGCCATACTCTCCCTCACGATGGTCATGGACTCTGACCCTGTGGAACCGCGAGCTCCAAGCCAACTCTTTCTTCTCTAAGTTACATTGATCATGATGCTTTTACACAGCAGTAGGAAAGCAGCTGAGACACCTTCCCTCCCTCCCTCCCTTTTTCACTCCCTTTCTTCGTTGAGAGTGTCTCTGTAGCTGAGGATGACCTTGAACTTCTGCCTTCCAGGTGCTGGCATTACAGGCATGCACCACCATTCGTGGTTCAGATGGTTTGGGGGATGGACCCCAGGGCATGCTAGGTAAGCTCCACCAATCGAGCTGCATCCCCGGCCCCTTGAGTCTTTCTTGTACGTACTTGTTTGTTTCATTGGCCACCAAGTCCTGGGCATCGGCTGGGTATCAAACTGCTAGACATTGGATTCAGTCATGGTGGAGGGGAGAACAGAGCTTGCCCTGAAGTCAGCACATTAATGAAGAGGAGTGGGGCGTGGGTGGATAGGACATCTCAGACAGGCAGCATGAGGCAGGGTAGGCAAGAGCCACGGAAGAGCTGTGGCCGCAAAGCACGGCTCACTTCTGTAAGATCCCAGCACCCCTCCTGGACTCTGCGATCCAAAGAGCTCCCTGGTACTCCTTCCACACCTTCACATCTTGGAGCCTCACAGACCAAAATGAATGGTGACAAGAGTTCCAATCATCACGCCCATGTGACAGGTGGAAAAGGAAAAGAGAGATAGGCAATGTGGGGTCAAGGAAGTGGCTGGCTCCCAAAGATGCTTGCCTTGCAGGAGCGAGGACTTGACTTCAAATCCCAGAATGCACTTTAAAAAAGGAAAGAAGAGAAAAAAAGAAAGAAAAGGAAAGGGAAGGGAAGAAAAGAAAAAAAAAACTGGGCATAATGGCAAATGCTGAGTTCCTGCTCAGTGGAGAGAAATCCCTGGGACTCCCTGAGAGCCTGCCTGGCTGAACCCGTTGGTGGGTCCAGGTCCAAAGGAACAACAAAATGACAGAAGGCCCCTGAGGAAGGACACCCAAGAGTGTTTTCTGGTCTCCATACACATGCACCCACTCACCCAGGAACACACAAACATGCACATTCAAGGCTAAACACTAGAATTGCAGCTAAGACCACAAGCCTTCACTCACTAACCAGCAAACCCAAGACATTTACAGCTTCAGGGCAGCCAAGGCCAGGATTGCCTTCCTCATAGCTCCGCCTTCGTTTCTCCAGCTGTAAATGGTAGCTGTCAGGACCGCCTGAGAGATTTGAAGCAGCAGTGAACGTTGACTTCAGTGGATAATCATAAAGCTCTGAGAAGTGACGTTGTTTCCCGATGATCTGATTTAAGCAATCCCAGAACTGTTACTCCCAGCCCTAGGCCAGGACCCAGACCTTGTTGCCTGGTCCTGAGGCTGTACAGCCCCGGGCGCCCCAGGCTTCCCAGCCTGTTCAGTTTGGCTTGCGGGTCACAGGGACCCGCCCTCGCCCTGGGAGGTGGCTCTGGGTTCAGCGGGCCCGGCAGGGTGGCTTTGTGCCTGTCTGATTTTCAGTTCTCTAAAGAAAAAAACGCACAGCGGGGCCATGACATCACGACAGAGAAAATACCTCAGCTCCTGGCCCCTGTGTGGGGACCTCAAACAAGGCGATTTACTTTATTTTGCATATTAATTGTTCTAAATGCCACCCGCTCTGGGATCAATTAAGCTCTCTAGTGCTGGGAGGAAATCCGAGGCTGGCAGCGGCCAAGAGGTGGGCGCCCCCTCAAGGCCATAGGTCATCCAAGATGCCTGCACCCTGCCACCACAAGGACACTGGGACAGGCCCCAGACAGGCCTGCCAACATGTAGGAAGACTGAGCTGAAAAATCTCTTTCTATCCTCCACCTCTTTTTAGAAGAGTGACTTCCATGTAGCCCAGGCTGGCCTCCAACTATATCTCACTTACCCTCCTTCCTTCACTCTCCCAGGTGCAGGGCATGCCACCAGGTTTATGAAGCTGGGATAGAATCCCAGGCTTTGTGCATGCTGGCAAGCGCCCTACAAACTTAGCCACATCCCCAGCCCTCAAACGGACATCTTTTATTTTTGAGACAGGCCTCATGTATTCCATTCTGGCCTTGAACTTGCTTCTGGCTGAGGATAACCCAGAACTTCAGATTCCCCCGTTTCTGCCCCCCCAAGAGCTGGGACCCCAGCCGTGTACCTCCATACCTGGTTTATGCAGTGCTGAAAACACTACCTACCGAAATACATTTCCAGGCTGCCCTTGGGATCATCTCTTTCCAACTGCTGGACTCTGTCTCCTTTCCAGGTAGAAGCTTTACCTAGTTAATCTCTTTGGCCACAGCTGCCTGGGCAGTTAACCTTCCTGACCCCCATGGCTAGGTGTAGAGACCTGCTCCACCTCGTCTACCCCAGTCACGGGGGTTACAGGTCTACCTGCCTCCACATTAGGTTTTTTCTGTTGCTGAGACTTGAACTTGACTCTCATGCTTTCATAGCCAAGTGCTCTTACCTACTGAGTTGTCTTCTCAGCCCCTAAGCAGTGTTTAAAGGGCAGGATTTAGTTTAGTCTCCTCAGCTTCCCCCATCCCCCCCATCTTCAAAGGATCCCCCTTTGCACTTCCTGTGACCTACAAAGGCCCTTGGGATGCTGTGTTAGTCAATTTTCTATTGCTGTGAAGAGACACTGTGACCAATGCAGCTTAGGTATTTATTGGGACTCACAGTTCCAGAAGGTTAGGAGCACAGCAGCAGGTGGGCATGTGTAGTTCTGAGGGCAATAGATAAATGCTATCGGGTTCTACAAGCACAAGGCAGAGAGAGAGAGAGAGAGAGAGAGAGAGAGAGAGAGAGAGAGAGAGAGAGAATTGGAAATGGCACAAACTTATGAAACCCCAAAGCCCACCCCCAGTGACATACCTCTCCAACAAGGCCACACCTCCTAATCCTTCCCAAACAGTTGTACTAACTGGGACCAACTATTCAAACATCTGAGCCCATGAGGGTCATTCTCATCCAAACCACCACAAATACCATGGGAAACTGGACTAGGCATGGCAGCATATGCCTTTAATGCCAGTGCTCAAGAGGTGGAAAAGGTGGGTCTCTGGGAGGTCCCTTAGCCTGCTTATCTAATTCTAGGTCAGCCAGGGTCACACAGCAAGACTCTGCCTCCAAACAACAACAACAAACAAAACCAAACCCAACTCTCTCTCAGACTAGCATCTTTAGGAGGAAACCTCAAGTGTGGGGAGAAGAGTTGGTAGAGTCAGGAAAGTTGCTGGCTGGTTCCTGGCTGCCTCGAGGCCTCTGGGGTTTGGTATGCAAGACACACACAGAGTGGAGCCAGAGAGGTGGGCAGATGGAGGCCAAGTCTCCAGAGGAGGCATCTGGATTTTCAGCATGAGCAGAACTGCTCTGGCTTCCACAGCCACAGGCAAGCTACTCCCATTTACAAGGGCATGGGCGAGGTGTTTCCTTGGCTCCCTCTCCAGCAGCTCTTTGCCCACCCTGACATGTGTTTGCCGCCATCTGTCCATAAGCCCAGAATTCCTGCAGGCCACGTCACTCCTCCTGCACCCCCTGCCACAACCCCTTACCTGGGTAACACAAAGCTGTCCTCTTCCCATGGCCTGAAGCTGCAGCCTCACCCCTGCCCCAGGACTCTGGGCTCCTGGCCACCACTCTCCTTCACCCTCCTGAAGACCTGGAGAACCTGGTGGGCCAGTCCTCAGGGCTCCAAAGGGCAATGCTTCTATTGGCTCTTCCCTGAAGGAATAGGGATCCAGAGCCACCAAATTTTTAGACATTTCAGAGAAGGCCTGAATTCCAGATTTTTTTTATGTGAAAGTTCTCAGTTTCAAAATATTGGATCAAAACCAAAAACTTCTTAACACTGGTAGAGCCAGAGAAGTTACATGTGACGAATGTGGTCCAAGCTCCGCTGATGGTAACGGCAGCCATGGGATGGTGTCTGCTACTTGACCCGACCAACCAACCACCATCTAGCACTTCACAGATGGGCCACAGGATATGGCAAGTGCCTGCTGCTGAGCCTGGAGTGAGAAGAAAGGCCACCTAGATGAAGGGCTGCCTGCCATTGCCTCTGCTCTCCTCTGGTACTTTAAGGGTTTCATGGTTTCCTTTAAACCTTTGATTCATGTCGATTTATTTTGGTATAACATGTGAAGTGAGGTTCTAAATTAATTTCTTTTACAGATGGGCAGCCAATTGTCCCAATACTAAATGTGGAGAAATCCTGTTTCAAATGCCAACTGGATCATATGGTAACTTCCTATATATATTGGATGACTTCCAGTAACTTCTAAATTATATGGCTATTCATATACTTCCTCTATAGTTCCAATTATTTCGGCTTTATAATAGATTTGAGATCTGTGTAAATAATGGAGCGGGTTCTCCTTGCTCCTCGCATTGCTGTTTTCAAACTTTTCCTGGATATGTGTGCATGTGTATTTTTCCATGTCACCCTTTCTAGTTCAGTAAGAGCCGTGTAGCTTTTGTTCAGTGTGGTGGTGCTGATGTAGAGCTTGGTTTAGGGAGAACTGGCATCCTCGTGATGCTGTCTCTTTACCCATGGGGATATACGCTCACATCTGTGTTCTTTGGTAGTATGCAAAAGGATTGCTTCACATGAATTTTGGCATATCTTCAAGAAATTTATTTCTGGGGCTGGGGAGACGGCTCAGATGGTAAAGTGCTGCCCCTGCAAGTGTGAGGACCTGAGTTCAAACCCTAGTCTCCATTTAGAAAAAAAAATGCCGAGTGTGGTGAGGGTTTGCAATCCCTAAACTAGAGAGCAGAGTCAGGGGGATCCCTGGGACTGGGCAGCCAGCCAACCCAGGCTGGCTGGCAAGCTCCAGCCTTGTAAGAGATTCTGTCTCGAAAAACAAGGAGGACTGTTCCGGAGGGGTGACACCCACACTGACCTCTGTTTCATGCCCACGTGAGCACGCCCACAGGCACACACATGAACAAGCACATACATGAATATATATATATATCACAAATGAAAATTTAAAAGTAAAAAGTTTTCATCACATTGATTTTACATTTTTTAAAGTTTATTTCTAGGTTATTTTACAAATGAGTCTTTTTATCCATTATAATTTAGCTCAGTTTGTCTCTGAAGTCTTTGAAGACCAAAGAATACTTGTTTGTATAGTTATCTTACAAGATTCTTTTGTCATTTTCCCCCATTGATTCTTGTGGTGCTTTAATAACTGTGAAAGGTTCCTCCTTTCCAACATGAGGTCTCAATCCAGCTTTATACAAGACCCAGAACAATAGTGGTGATGGTGACCTCGGCTCCAAGATAAAATATATAAACACCAATTTATGGAATGATATATCCATCTACTAACTTATTAAATTCCTTTTTCCTGAGAATACATGTCGAGTTTTTGAAGACACTTTTTTTTGTAGATCGTGGGAGATAAAGAGAAGATTCCAGAAGCCTAGAGAATCCGAAAAAGCCATGTAGCAGAGGATCAAGACTCAGGATGGCACTGGGCTACTTCTCATCAACCCAGATTGCCACATGCCAATAAGAACTGCCTTCAGAATGTGGAGTGGAGATGATTTCCAAACGAGATTTATACAGCCAGCCAAACTGTCAATCAAGAATCCAAAAACTGAACTTCCCATATGCAGTTTTCAAGGAAGCTACTGGCATGTATATTATAACTAAAAGAAGACAGCAAACCAAGCAGGAGGGTGGCTTCAGATCCAAGCACCAAAGAAGAAGTGTGGGAGAGAGGTTAAAGGGTTTCCTGGGATAATGACGGAGAGAAATTTCAGAATCTCTACCATGCGGGTATCTAAGAAGGTCAGGGCAAGAAGATGAAGGGTTTTAAGGAAACAATACAAAATCAAAAACCAAAAAACAGAAGTGCTAAGTTACCAGATGAATCTGATCATATTGCTCGAGATTTAAAAACTTTGTGGGCATGTTTGTGCGAAGAATGAGGAATGTGGCTTTAAAATGTAAGTGAAAAAGAGGCAATCACCAACTCCAGGGAAAGCAAAAAGCTGCCCGAGTCAGCAGCTACACCTGTAACACATCAGTTAATGGTTAATATTTATGTTATCAACTTGACAGGATCTGTTATCACCCAGGACATAAGCCTCTGTGCACACCTGTAAAGTGTTATCTATATTAACTACTGGGCATGCCATGAGGGAGTTTCTTGATTAGGCTTAACTGAGGTGGGAAGTCCTACCCTAAATGCGGGTGACACCATTCCCAGGGCTGCAGTCCTGGACTTGAGACAGGGAGAAAGGGAGCTGAGCACATAGCATCCATTTCTTTGCTTCCTGACTGAGGGTGCAACGTCACCAGGTCCTTCATGCTCCTGCTGCCACGACTCCCTCACTGCGGTGGTGGGAACCTTAAACTGCGAGCCAAGGCAACCCTTCCTCCTTTAAGTTGCTCTGGTCAGGAGTTTCCCCACAGTGATAGGAAAGGAAACCAAGAGACTTTGCTTAGCTGTTGACAACATGCAGGTGGATCAGATAGAAGCGGACTCGGCTGAGTTAGCAGTTGTGATGGGATTGCATCAGGAAGTGTGTGTCTGCGTGTGGAGGCTGCTGTGGAACTAACAATCTTCCGTAAAAGGAGGCCAACAAATAATATGCGAAATCAGAAAAGGATGATATTTAGAAATATGAAAGTAAATGTCAGGGGCAGCGGTGAGAGGACTTGAAGTCATCTCCTCCAAGGAGAGGTGGGGCTGCTGCTTTTCATTATCGGTTTCATGCAACTATTTGACTTTTACAATCTCATAATAAACTATTGATCAAAATGGAAATTTAATTTAAAATGTCCATGTATTTATGACCTAACTTGGCTTTTGAACCTCTCCTGCTATTCAGGAAATGAGCTGACCAGAATTTTGAAGATCAAGGGTACAGTCTCTTGGCTCTGTAAATTGCTAGCTGTGTGACTCAAGGCCAGTTGCTCAGTCTCTCGGCGTCTCCATTTATTCAACAGGGAAGTAGGGCTAATTCTAGTATCAACTTCATAGGGCTGCTCACAGGATGACATGAGCCCATGCCTGGGCCTGACACTCAGGAGCACACACCTACAACATGCCTGTTGCTGTAATCTTCTCTGATGCTCATGGAGCCTTGGGTGTCAGTCCTTGCCTTCTTCCTTGCTTGGATGTAGGTTTCTTTTTCTACTTCCTATACCAGGCTCTCTGGCCTGCAAGCTTCTGGGGTTCTCCCCACTGCCCCACATCTGTCTCTCTGTGGCAGGCCTGGGTTTGCAGATGTGCACTGCTGAACTTGGCTCTTGACGGTTGCTGTTTTAACTCCATTCAGCTCAATTCCTAAGGGATTGACTGTGGACAGGTTCTCTGAGCCTAGCCCTTTAAAGGTGAAGAATTTTGTGTGCCTGAGCAAATAAGTGAAGTACAGAAGTAGAATACCCAGGACCCAGCACCTCATATTATTTCTCATCAGCAAAGAGGGAACCCCCTTTCAGGGTACCATGCTCATTGACGGGATGATCCTGGGAGATTCCTGCCTTGGCTTGGCATGCATTTATTTACTCAAAAAAAGCAGTCAAGCGAGGGAATTCTAAACTCATAGAATTCACTGTAGGAAACCTGGGAAATCTAGAAACCCATGTCAGGACTTTTGTTGTTTGTCTCAGCCCTCTAACCAAGTATGGATCAAGAAGCAGTCTGTTAGAGACCGGCTTTAATTTGGCTCATGTTTTGAGGAGAAACAGTTTATTGTGGCAGGGTGGAGGTAAGGGGATGGGGCAATGGTGGGAGGATGAAGCTCCTTGCTCCATTGCCTTGACAGGAAGAAAGGACTGGGACCAGAGCAGAGCACACAAAGCTACCCCCAGTGACTCCCTCTCTCCAAGCAGGTGTCTTCTACTCGTTCTCTAAAGTATTTTTTATTTTTATTTTATGTGTGTGGGTGTTTTCCCTGCATATATGTCTGTGTACCACATGCCTTTCCGGTGCCCAGGGAGGTCAGAAGAGGGCACTGGATTCCCTGAAACAGGAACCACAGGCAGTCGTGAGCCTCCACGTAGGTTCTGGGAACTCAACCAGGGTCTTCTGCAGGAGTAACAGCTGCTCTTAACTGCCGAGCCAACTGCCCAGCCCGGTATGTCCAACCTTTGATATTGCCACAGAACATTATCATCTACAAAGTTCACAATGGAGAACTGTAATTGATTTACAGGGAAAAAACAATCTCACGAGGCAGAGAGATGGTTCAGCAGTTAAGAGCACTTGCTGCTCAACCACGAGGACCAAAGTTCAGAGCTCTGTACCCACATCAGGTAGCTTACAAATGCCTATAACACCTCTATCACCCAAATACACATACGGCGCGCGCGCATGCGCGCGCATATACACACACCCCTCATAATATGTTAAATAAGCTTCTCATGAGTGTTGGGTTGCATTCATAGTTATCCTTTATTGCACGTAGCCCACAGGCTGCATGTTGGCTATGCTCAGAGTTATAACCTCCCTAAACAGCTGGGGATTCGGTGTTCAGATACATGAGCCAATGGGAGACATTTCACATCAAACAGACAGGGTTTTTCCCATCTTATTTCCCATGGGGAGGTGGGGAGCGAGTGTGTGTGTGTGTGTGTGTGTGTGTGTGTGTGTGTGTGTGTGTGTGTCTGCGCACGCGCTCGTTTGGGAAATAGAGGTGCTGGTGGACCCCATGGGCCTCCTTTCTGCTTATTTTTAGATACAAGAGCTGGGTGTCTCTCGGGCCGCTTTTCCCTTTGTGGAGCCGAGCTTCCAGCCTTCCCTAGGAACTCAGGCTTCCATGGTGGATGAGGCAGGAGGGGGATGGGTTAACAGGGGAACTCTAGTGAGTAAGCATGGGTACCCAAGAGCAGCAGAGGTTACTCCAACCACGTTGATTGGCCAAAGAGACTCACGCGGTCATCCTGAGCTGGGGGAGGGGAACCACCCTCTAGAGTATCCGACCACATGGGTCATGGGACCCAGCAAAGAAGGGGGCACTTTGTATTGCATCCGTGGAACCAGAATCACAGGGCTGCATCGGGACCGGGAACCACAGGGCTGCATGGGGACCCGGAACCGCAGGGCTGCATCGGGACCCAGAATCACATGACGCCATCGGGCCCTTTCTGCAGGCTGCTTTTGTCTCTTCATTACATTATGAATCCTCTCTGAACACATGTGGTCGTCGGCACAACACAAACCGAAGGAAAGATTTCAAGTGGCTGGTGACACTCTTTCTCTCTCCCTTGTTCCCTCCTTCCTCTTCTAATTTAGGGAACTGTGTGTAGGTGGCGGAGATCCAGGCTTCTGGTCTTTGCATGTCAATGCTCAAAAATATCTCCCCCATCTTTCCCCTCCTGGCCAGCCAACATGGACAGGCATGTCCCTGTCCCTCCTTTTTACGGGGGAGTTCGGGCAGGCCTGGGGTGTCATTCACTCCAGAAGTAACACCACGTCTGGAGGTGAGGCTGAGAGAGCCCGCGGAACAACTGCCGGGTTAACAACCGCACATGTGGGGTGCGGCTGCACGAGGCTCTGCTGGGGCCTCCTTGCTCAGACAGTCAGCTGGTGGTGTTAATGTGCGGTGTTAAAAGTGACACCAGAGCGCTGCAGGCGCCACTGTCAGCTGCTGCGGGAGATGACACCCCGGCCTGCAGAGTTGGGTGCGAGCTCAGAGCCGCAGCCCTCCCCCTCACTTGGGTCCCAGGATCCGGGAGACCCATGGGAATGGGTTCAGGAGGGGCAAGCGTGGTAGCCTGCTGAAGGAGTAGTTTGTCCTCAGCTTGTGAAGATACAGGCTGTGGGAGCAGTGACGTCACAAGGCCGGAGGGACAGGTTGGGGTCAGGTAGGAATATGATGCTGAGAGCTCAGGGCTCTCCCCTCCCCAGGGTTCCCCTCTTTCCTCCTTTCCTCCTTCCCTTAAGCCTCCCTTCTTTCTGAATACAGATCGCAGACTGATATTAACGTTGCTATATAGTCCAGGATGACCTTCAACTCCTGATCCTTCTTCCTCCACTTCTCAAGTGCTGAGTTCCGGGTGAGCACCAGCATGCCCAGTATATGTGGTGCTGGGGATTGAACCCAGAGCCTTGGACATGCTGGGCCAGCCAGCCCTCTACCAGCTCTCTTCCCGGTGCCTCCTGTGGGCCTCCCTAGCTCAGCTGTGGTTTTCACATGACACTATGGACAACTACTGAGGTTTACAGCTCAGTCATGAAAGTATGCGGGCTTGGAGTGACCACAAAGGCCGTGGCAAACACCTTCATCTGTTGTTGGGATGTTCGGGCGAATGCCTGGGGTTTCAGAGAACTTTGAAAGGGAGTGAGGTTGGTGAGGACTCAGGAGCACAGAAGCCCAGAGAAGGGAAGGGAAAGGAAGTGATTGGAGTGGGTTAGACCCTCATCAGGAAACTTATTTTGCAGTTGGGGAGACTGAGGCGTAACCCTAAGGCCTTAGGGTTAGCTTACTTTCTTCTGGGGTCAGAGTTGCCACTGCAGCTAGGATAGTATAGTCTGTGCTTTGTGTGGAGATGCCACGCACTCATGCCCTTGCAGCCTGGGAAGGAGAGTGTTGGAGCTAAGGAGTGCCCACCTCAGCTATGGGAGTGGCCCGGTTCAACAAAAGTAAAACCCAAGAATATTTCTCCTTTGGGGTGTGAAGCAAAACAACTCAGCCCTAGGAGATAACTCAGTCAGCAAAGCGCTTTCCATGCATGCATGAGCCAGGCCCTGAGCTCAGTCACCAGAACCATGTGAAAAAGCTGGACACATGGCATGCACTTGTCACAGGTGGATCCAGCCTACTTCAGAGGTTCCAGGTCAATTCAAGATTCCGTCTCAAAAAAACAAGGTGATGGTAGCCTGAGGGATGACTCTAGAGGGTGACCTCTGGCATCTGGGTTCCACACACACACACACACTCGGGTGAACATACACACCACCTCTTCATAGAATGGATTTCTGTTTTTTACTTTTTCCCCTTGGTACAGTCTTGACTAACTCATTATGGCTTCCACTTTGCAGTTTGGGAAACTGAGGCCAGAAACGCAAATGCTGCACATTCCTGTCATTCTTTAGGAAAAAATGGAGTCCAACACTGTCATTTCAAGTAACCAACTTCTGCGCCAAGCCAAACATCATTCAAGACAATTCCAGTGTCTGCGGATGCCAGTTCATTTGCCTGCCGAGCTCATTTCCTCTTGGAGCACATCCTGTTCTCCGTGACCCTAGCCTGGACCAGGGAGGGTTTGGAGGGAGTCACCCAGTGGGTGAACATCAGTCATCGACGACTCCCTTTAGTTCCAGCCTCAATGTGTACAGGGAACTAAGTCTGGTCCCAGATTTGGGAAGGATGCTATCCAGGAATCCAACTTTTGTATATTTTAAATTTCTATATTTAAAGGCTCAGTAGTGCCCATTTTCCCTGTTAGCCCTACTCTCGTCTCCTTAGAAGTCTGGAACCTGTGGCTTCTAAGACCCTACAAATCCTTTCCTTCGTTCATTAACGATTTCTCTCTTATGGAAGCCAGGTAATCAAAGGTACCAAGAAAGGTAACCCCAAAGTATTTCAGTCTCAGCAAGGTATCTTCTCCCCCTTTGTGTGTGTGCATGTGTATGCATGTGTGCATGCGTGTATGTATACACACACGTGCATGTGTATGTGTGTGTGTATAGACATGTTAACTGAGTGTTATTTGCGTGTCAGGCACCTTTCACAG